TAATTATGTTATGTATGAAAAGTATCTTAATATAAAGGAACCTAATACCATAAACTATAAGAAACTGAAAGAGTTGAGTGTATAAAATATATAAATCATTATAAACAGCTATCTTGATTATTTTAGAATTTAAATAAAATCAAGAAATTGTACCCAAGTATCGAAAAGGTACCTAAAAATGTAAACGGTACCTAAATATATAAGAAAATTTATACGATTAACTATCGAATAGGGAAATATTCAGAGTACACCAAATAAATATACATATATTTGAAAACAGGTGTCTTAATATTTTTTTATATGTATAAAATAGTAAAATATAAAATTAAAATAAGAAATTATATCCGAGAACTTAGAAAACACCTAAAAATATGAAAATAAACTTAATAAAAAGGAACCTTAAACATAAACTACCGATCAAGCCACATAAAAAATATATCGTTGAAAAGAACTTTCTTAACACATTAGAATTCAGAATATAAAATTCTTAAATTTACCTTAATTCTACCTAGTTCCAGGTACTATCTAAACCTAAGCACCTATCATATATAATAATATCTAACAAGCTTAATTCCCATCACTAAACAAAAGTATAGCGCACAGAGAGCTCATCCTGTCCGAAGCCTGGTTTGTTCCTTTAACGTATTTTTATACCCTTGCAGGGTATTATAATTTCAGTCAGAAGTTTGCAACGCAGTGAAGGAGGCACCTCCGACTATATAAAGTATATATATTCTTGATCAGGATCAACAGCCGAGTCGATCTAGCCATGTCCGTCTGTCCGTCTGTCCGTCTGTCCGTCTGTCCGTCTGTCCTTCTGTCCGTCTGTCCGTCTGTCCGTCTGTCCGTCTGTCCGTTTCTACGCAAACTAGTCTCTCAGTTTTGAAGCTATCTGAATGAAACTTTGTAGTTAGCCTTCTATATACTCTCACTCGTATATATGTCGGAACGGGCCGGATCGGACGACTATATCATATAGCTGCCATAGGAATGATCGGAAAATTTTTACAAAAAAATTTTTAACTTTTTCAGTTTTCAATAGAATTGGATCAAATTTGAGATATAGCCATTTTACTATACTCTACAATTTTGCATAAAATTTTATGAAAATCGGACTACTATATCATATAGCTCCCATAGGAACGATCGAGAAATTAATACAATTAAATTTATAACCTTTTCAGTTTTCAACTGATTTTCATCAAATTTTAGGTATAGGCATTTAATTTAAGTCTTAAATTTTGTGGTAAATTTCATGAAAATCGGACGACTATATCATATAGGTGCCATACAAACGATCGTTTGATGTGGAGGAAAAATGCAAATCAGTGAATGTAAAACTGCAAATATAATATGTATAGGTGAATGAAATGAAAGCAGGTATTACTTACTTCATTGTTTTTTAACACAAAGATATATAATTTGTATTGTATGGTTTTTTATTCATAGAAGTTCTATCTGCAAGGGTATATAAACTTCGGAGTGCCGAAGTTAGCTTCCTTTCTTGTTCCATTTTATTTCAGAGAGTTCGGGGGGGGGGGGGGAGATGGCACAGAAATTCCTTGCTGCGATATCAATTAAGGATACAGCTCACTCACATAGAACCCGGTTCCCTCCTCTTGATCCTTTATTTTTGAGGATTTTTCGGTGGCCATAGGCAGACACAGAGACCAAAGTCCACTCCACACCAGTCCTGGCCAGTCCCGTCCAGTCCCGTTCAGTCCTGTTCAGTCCTGTCCAGTTTCGCTTGAACCCCCCCCCACGTCAACCGGAAAAAGGGGGTAAAAAACATCATCTAAGCCCGAAACTTTGTTCAATGCTGCAATGGACAGAAGGCAGGCCAGACAGAGAGAGAGGGATACAGAGTGGGATAGCGATAGTGCACACACAGAGTTGCATGTGCGTGTGTGTCTGCTGCGTCGTGTGTGTGTGTGTGTGTATGAGTGTGTGTGTGTGTGTGTTGGCCCTAATGGAAATTGGTTTTATGCATGTTGGCTTTTGTTTATTTTTACAATTTTGATGATGTTTTGCTGAATGCGATGCGAGTGGCAGTTTCCTCCTCTCTCACTCTCACTCTTACACCCTATCTATCTATCTCACTCTCTCGCCAGCTTTGGGTGTACTGGTCTTTTTGGGAGCTGACTGTACTTCCGGACATTGCATTACGTTAGGTAGCACGTGTGTGTGTGTTAGTTCTTTTTCGGTGCTAGGCTGTACGCCCTTTTTCGATTAGCTTTCAAACAAAAATGGCGCATTCGGTGGGTGTGTGTGTGTGTGTGTGAGAGAGAAAGAGAAAGGTAGAACTGGCTACCCTTTGGGGTTGACTGTACCCCGAAAAAAAGTATAAAAAGTAAGCTAAATTGTACAAAAAACTACAAAACAATGTTTAGAACTACAAGAAATGGCAACGAATTGCGATGCTGAGTGAGATACTAATTGACTTTAGCCATTAAGCACCCATAAAATTAAAAAAAAAATAGTATTTATTGTCTTTCTAACATACTTTCTTATTTACTTCTTACTTAGTTACTTATATTACTCTTTTTAACCCTAAATAAAATGAATAAAGTGTATTGATCCTTTGTTTTTAATATTTTAAAAAAAGAAACAGGAAGTTAAAATAATAATAATAATAATAATAATAATAATAATAATAATAATAATAATAATAATAATAATAATAATAATATTTTTTCTTATATTATTTATTTTTAGATTAAGCAAAAATGCTGGAAAATATTAATCAAATAAGAAATCTTTCAACAAAAAGATTTCCCAGAAGTTTCTTGAACCAAAAAAAAGTTTATAGAGTTGGTAAGTAAAAAAAAAGGGGGAAAACTGGAAAAACTACTAACGATTAATAGCCACACTACTATCCAAATTTTTTCCACTCGTTACCCCTAATTTCCATCCTTTTCCCGCCATATATATTCTCCCAATTACTGCCCATCCTAACCCACTTTACAGCCTTATTTTCCACACTATTTTCCACCCACCGCCCCCACATTCTCCAATGCTTTCCCTATCTATTTTTTGTCTGGCACACACAATGAAGCTGCCGATAAAAATCCTTACACACCCACACACATTTTGCATATGCGTTTTTCTCTGTAATTCCCTGAAAATTCCACCAAGACCACCCACTTGCAGGACAGGAAAAACTAAGCTTAAAAAAAAAGAGTCAAGAACACAACACCGGCAGCACAAAAAATAATAATAATAACAAAAAAATAGAAAAGAAAGCGGAAAAAACAGATGGAAAAATTCCTTTTAGGTTCGACATTTGGTCAGAGGGCCTCGAAATCGCCAGTACCAGGATATATACATATATATATCTATATATAGGGTATAGCCAAGCGAAGAGCACCCAATCAGAGGCGGGGAAAAAGGTCTCCGGTTCGGTTTTTTCGGGGGGAGTGGCCAAAACACACACAGAAGCACACACAGAAAATGTAAAAAAATAGAGACGAGCTGAAAAACATTTTTTCCCCCTTGGGGGGTGTCCAAGTGGACAGGGGCCAGCATAGGGTTAAGCTGGACTTAGAGGGAGGCCAGGATAAAAAAAAATAAAGTCCCAAAGCCCTTTCAAGCTTCAAACCGAAATGATTGACAACTGCCGTTGTCTTTGGGACGGTAAACACAATATACATATTGGGCCTAAAATAATATTTAAAAATATGTCAAATTTTTAAGGTTTTAATATACTTAAATTTTATTTAAGGGCAATAAGATGTTTGTCAAAAATTAGAAAAGAAAGTCGCAAGGATCTGATGTCAAAGGAGCAGTTTGCTTAGTTTTACATCCTTTCCCATAGGTAAAAGAACCAATTGAGAATTACAGTGCAGCTTCAACCAGTTGGGAATTATAGAACAGCTCTAACCAGTTGGGAATTATAGTTCAACTTTAACCACTTGGGAATTCGATTGGAAATCAAATTACAACCCCCACAAAATAATTAAAAACCATCAATATATTTTTTTAAAGATTTTTATTGATTTTTTTCATTTTTATTTTGTTTTTATCTTTATTTTTTCTTAGAAAAAAATTAATTTAAATAAAAACTGAATTCAAGATTCACTTGATTTTTATTTGCTGTTGTTCTTTTTTTTAATTATTTTTCTTTGATTTATGGTTGCTTTTGTTGTTGTTGCTATTGTTTCTGTGTTTGTGTTTATCCTTTAGTGTTTTTTTTTTGTTTTTATTTTTTATTTTTTTGGGTGAAAAGGAAATTAATAACTGTACATAATTTGTTGTATATTTTTTTTTTGGAACAAAATCAAGCCACTACATTTAATTTTGTTTTGTATAAATATATATTGTATGCTTTTATTGTTGGTTTTTGTTTTGTATCATAATTTTTATTTGAATTTCATTATTTTTTTTTTATTTTTTGAAAATTACTAATAGCTTAAAGGCTCCATTGAAATGAAAACATAATTCGGGGTTAAAACATTCATAATATTTAGTATTAAGAATTATAACACACAACCCAGGCAAAACTCAAGTATCAATTATCGAATGGTGAATTCTTCCAAATTAATGAAATGATACAATCACTTAGGAGATTTAAAATTTTAAATTTAAATTTACAATTCAAACTGACAATTTTGTCAATATATAATTTGATTTAAAAAACAAAAAAAAACCCTTCAAGTTCAAGTTTGCGTATCCATTTTATTTATTTTTTGATGCTCTCTACTACATGGGTTAATGTTTATGTGGGCGTTGTTGTATCGATTATTTGTTTACAATTACAATATATATATTTATAAGTGTGTGTGGGGCTTTGGAAGCCACCCAAAAATTAAAGGGAAATTATAGAACCAATGTGTGTGTGTGTATTTCGGATACATGTATTGTGTATACAACTAATATATTTGAATGCTTTTCGCTATCCTCTCCTAATCTCCTCCTCCTCCTTGTGTTGATCGCCCCCGATCTCTTGGTTGCAAAAAATATATTTATATATATTATATATTATGTATATCCCGCCCGAGAAGTTTTGCAAAAAAAAAAAGAAATTAAATGATTATTGTTTTTAAATCCCTCCTCGCTCATCTAACCATCAGCATCATCATCATCATCATGATCATCATTATGTTTATGTTTTCTTTCGTATTAAGCCTTAGGTTTTTCTGGTTGTTTTTAAAGTATGCATTTAATCCCCAGCCGCCGACCATCCCATGAATTTGGAAAATCCGATTCGCCATCAATTTTCCAGCTGCAATTCGTGGGAGTTCGGGTGTTCAGTCTTCGACGGCATATTTCTGGGTCCATTCGCGGGCATTGCGTATGGCCTCCGCTTCGTTGACCTTCCACAATTCGGCCACATCGTTGGCCAATGGATCATCGGGATTGGGTGCACTGAGCAGGGCCTGAATCGATAGCAATATGGTGCGAATTTGCAAAGCAGGACTCCATTTGTCCTTAAGGACATCGAGACAAATGCGTCCCAAACGATCGATATTCGGATGATAGATCTTCGTGATGAAACGTACTTTTGGCGCCGACATTGGATAATCTTCCGGCAGGAATAATTCCAATTTAAAGACACCACCCTCGAAGGGTGAATCATTTGGTCCGGTCACAATCACATGAAAGTAACGGGCATTATTCTCATCCGGAATGGCATTGATACCGGGCACAGGCTCCTGCATTAGGCGCTGCGTCTCCTTGATAATGCGACGTGGCAGACTCGACATTTTCTCTTTCTTTTTTCTTGCAACAAAGCTTCCTCTTCGGGGCGGAGAGTGTGTGTGTGTGTGCGGGGGCGTAATCTCAAGGAGTTTTCCTCTTATACAGCGCTTTCGGGGTTATCTGTAGGTGTGAAAATATATTTGCAGGAAAAGAAGAAGAGTTAGAGAAGAAATATAGCAAATTTATAGATCTTAATAATTCAGGGTTTTATAATTATAAATTAGAATCTTACAAATAACCACTTTGTCGCGTTTCCTATTAATTTTAATCTTCGTAAGTATAGTTAATGAAAATTCTGCTTTAATATTACTTTGCTGGATTTTAATAATTTCAAACAGAAAACTAAATTTGTACTTTTAACCAGACCATTTGACTTTTGACTGTTTAGTGAAAGATTACTAGATTCACTTTGAAACTACATAACTTTATATATAACTAATATTTAAATAAATGCTAATCAGCAACAATTGTAATGAGATTTACATTCCGAATAGAATACATATTTCTTTTATATTGCTCAAGGACGTCTCTAATGCATACGTGTGTTTGTGAATCTGTGTGTGTGTGTGGTGGGTGGTAGTTGGGCGAATTCCGGTTTGATTCGTGGCTTTCACTTTCCTCAAGAAAGTTTTCCTGTAGAATTTCGCCAGCCACAAAACTTATTTTAAAAGAATACAAATTTTAAGAGGTTAAGTTAAACAATATAATAAGTTATCTTATAAAGTAAAGGTTTTTCCATTTTACAAATCGTATTATTTAAAGAAATTCTGGATAATTTAATCATTTTTTAACAACTAACAGAAGTTAAGCCAAGTTTCCTTAGCAAATATAAAAGTATTTTCATCTTAATGTCATATCTTCATATTTTCAAAGCACCTATTTTAGGTATCAAAAATAAACTGTATTTTAATCAGTGTTTAACTTAACTCAAATCTTTCCACTGTATATTTTAAAAGGAAACTTTGAAGTCCAACCTACTCCACCGGCATTTATTTTCCACCCCTTTTAGCGTGACCTTGCAGCTCCTTTGAGCAGCATTCCTACACTCTAAATAAAAGTCTACTTAATCTGGACTAAATTAAATAAATCAATGTTCTTCACTTAAACAAAAATTCATAAAACAATTATAAACAACTCGTAGAAAGTGTTTTAATTTCATAAAAATTTTACAATTTTTTGACTAGAAAGTCTAGAATTTTCTAGAAGTTTCATTTTATTTTTTCAACCATTTTAACGAAAAACTGATAAGGAAAATGATCCATTTTTAATTTAAAATAATAGCATTGTATTATTTATTATATTCCAAATATTATCCAAGTGTAGAGGTCTAATAAGGGGGTGGAAAAGAACGAAACAAAGGTAAACAAAAGCCGATTGAAATGACGCACAAGCCAAAAATCTACAGAAATTTAATTATCACAAAGACAATAAACAAAAGCACGTAGCAAACGTAACGTAATTTTTGTTTTCATAACTAAAGCAATAAACAGATCTACGTATTTTTTGCCAGTGTGCGGCTTTTATTGTATTAAAATTTATTGATTTCCCTTTTGGGTGACAACTGCACGTAGCAAAGGGAGGCGGCCGAAAGCAGGAGAACAAACAAACGGAACGTGAAGAACGAGAGGGGGGTGGGGGTGCCGGGTAATTGGAAAATCAATAACGTGGGCAATTTACTTAAAAGAAACACCTAATAAGATTTTAGTTTCTTTTTTTTTGTATTCTCCTTTTCCTTTTGCTGGCAGAAATTTTTGCGCACGCACACACACACCCACACACACATACGAAAACACCGACACACGCACACAAAGGCAGACGCACGAAAAAGACAAAGCCGCAAAGAAGAATATGCGAGACAAAGAAGGCGAGCGGCGGAGAAAAAAAAAGCGCCGCATTTATGCCGAATTTTAATTTAAACAAAAGTGCCTGGCAGATTTCTTAACTAATATGCAGTAGTTCTTGTTTTCTTGCATATTAACACACGCACACACACACACAGTCGCTTGCAATGACGGAAAAAAACACATGCACACCACTTGGACAGCAGATTTTGTTGAACGTTTTATAAATTTTTCTTTAAACAACAATATATCCGCCTTTAATCGGAGGTTTTACACTTTTCTTGGATTTTTCTTCGTCTTTCGTGTGGCTCTTCTTTATCTTTATTAAATTTTACTCCTGCTTCTTCTTCTCCTGCATTTTGTTGTTGTTCACACCGAGTTGTACTTCTTTTCTGTTGTTTTTTCTCTATAATATGAAAATGTGGATAAACACAAACTCACAGCGATGCGGCGCCAAGCAATTGGTGATTTTTCTGCGTATCTGGCGCTTTAATTTTGTTAGTTATTCGCTTAATTCCTCGTTTTTTTTTGCAGGCAGCTCCACCACAAAAAATTATGAATGTCGAACACTCGAAAAAAATTTCGCCTTTTGCTTGTGTGCGCGCGTAGGTGAGACCAGCGTTTGCATGTGTTGTGTGCGTGAGAGCGGCAATGTCAGAGTGGCAGGGTTGCCAGAGCGCTGATTGTGGACAATTAAAATTTTAGTTAAAGATTTTTCCCTTTAAACGCATTTAATGAATATATATTTATAGTTTATAATCAACTTTTAAGGTTGGTCTTGTGTTTTCTTATTGAGTTGAGCTTTTTAGCAAGCACTTTTAATTGGGTAATAAGTAAATAATTCTAAATCTCGACAACTCTACCGCTTAGCGGCTGTCAAAGTGTCGTGATTTCATAGCATTCAGCTTGCCGACACGATGCAAGGGTGAGTTTTGTGGCATTTAGCTTTTTGTCAGCAGTGCATAGATCGAAAAGCGGCGGTGATAAGTTGCAATTGGAGGAAAAGGTAAGTTTATTGTAAATTAAGAGGGAGTTTGATGAAGTAAACAATAAAAAGGAGTTACATATGCTTCAGGTGTAGCCGTAGTTGAACTGTGTAATGGTCGTTTAGTTAAATAAAGCCTCTGTATGCTTTTTTTCTTCTTTCGTTGCAGTTCCAATGGCAGATCCCGTTATGTTGTTGCGGACACCTGCGTGGTGTCTCAAACGGTTTTCGCACATATTTGGCGATCCGTGGAAGGTTTTCTAGAGGAATGCCACTGCATTACGGCATTTTGAGAGAGATGATCGAAATTATTGAACGCCACGATCTAAATGCAAACACAATTCATTCGGTTCGCGACGCGTGTGTTTTGTAAAGTTTTTAATTTGTGCGTGTGACGGGGACGGGTGCAAGTGAAAAAGTGCAGTGAAAAATGAGTTGGTGTTTGTTTTTTTTTTATATTTTTTTATGTGAAAATGTGAAATGTGAAAGTGAAATAATCACTTCCAGTTTTTTTTTTTTTTTTTTGTGTGCCTGGTCCACATTAAATTGTGAAGTGAAATAATCAGTGTGTGTTTTGATTTGTGTATACGCACCCGTTACCGTTTATCCCGAAACCGTTATATTTCGTTACCGTTTTACCTCTTCTGCTTTAAGCTTCCAGTAAGCGGAGCTTTTGCGGCTTTGCAAAGTTTATGTTGCAAGTGAGTATTATGTTTTACTATTTTATGATTTATTGTTTTAAATATTATTTTATTTTAATTTGTCTGCGTATTTTTAATTTCACAATATTATTTTTATTATTTATATTTTTACAAAAATTGCTATGGCCTTAACATCATGATTATTAGTTACTATTAATAATAAATTATTGGCTCACAAAAATCTTAGTCAAAGCTTATAATATAATTAGTATTTCCCAGCATTCTCTACTCCCATTTTTTTCAGTACATTCTGATAAGACTAAGAGTGAGCGAGTGCGAAATATTTAAAAGTACAGGCAGAAAAAAAAAACATTCATACAAACACAAAAAGCAGGCAAAAGGAAAAGTCCGAAAAATGAAGTGAAACAGCAAGCAACACAACAAATTGTCAATTTTTTTGGTGTAATCAACATTTATGCGTTTTTAAAAAGAGAGGCTGTCCGAACGAACACACACACACTGCCACTCTCACTCACACACTCTCACACAGACACACATCGAATGCAATGCCCAATGGACGCACAAGAGGGCAACAACAAAAACAGCGCAAAAGGCAGAAAACTAAAAAAAAAAAAAAAAAAAACAGCAACAACAACCGCCAGAGCCTCTCACTCGCTCGCACACATGTTATTTATCATTCGTATTCGCTCGATTGCATTGCGGCCTATGCATGTGCGAGCGTGAGTGTGTTATGCATATGGCTGCCTCTTGCTGTTGTTGCCCTTTTTGCAGTTGTTGCTGTTTGTTTTTATCTCGCACTCTCATACTGATACAAACCCACACACACAAACACACACGTGTGTGATCTCTGTTTTTAGGCTGGGCAACGATAGTTAAACCCAGCCCACAAGCCTGAGCGAGAACGAGCAACCTGACTCTCTCTGCTGCAACTGCGCTGCTTTTCCTTACGCAGCCAAATCGATGTGTGGTGTGGTGGGTGGTGGGTTGGGGAGTGTTGAAAGAGTGTGAGTGTTTGTGTGGGAGAGAGAGGGGCCGGCGACCTTTATTTGCTCTTGAGTTGCAGCTGTTTTAGTGCATGTTTCTGTTTTCTTTTACTTTTCTTTTTTTTTTACTGTTTTGTTTATGGCTAACTTTTTATTGCGACAGCTGATCTTTGAAAAAGAGTGTCGATAGTGTGGGGAGGGGGAGGGGGTTGAATGGTCAAATGGAAGAGAAGTGGGGGTAGCTTCTTAGAGCTTTCTAACTGTAACTGTAAGAACGTTTTTTTTTCTGTTAGAAATTCAGATTCCCAAATTTCATTTACAGTTATCAAACTTTGGGGGGGGGGATTGGGGTAACGAAAGGAAACACAGTTTTAATTAAGAGTAAAAAGGGAATGGTAACGAAGAGAAGGATTTTTATTATTATTTTATTATTATTATTTTAATCAGAAGCCTGTACCTGAGTGAAGGAGTCATTTCCGACACCATAATCCATATATATTCTTGATCAGCATCAACAGCCGAGTCGATCTAGCCATCTCCGACAGAGAAAAAAAAATGTATAAATTTTGTCGATATTTTTTAAGGGGTTTCATCGTTAAAATTAAAATAAAAAATTGAAAATTTTAAAATTTTTGTATATTTTAAATTGAGTATGCAGATTAATTAACCTAATAAAAACTTACATCGGAAAGCTTTCCGAATTAAAATTAATGCATTTTTGGCTTAGTTAAGCGTTTTTTAAACTTTGATTTATCGAATAAATCGACATGAAAAAATATGGATAAGTATTGATTAAATGCAGAATATTTTAAGCTTAGTTTTGATAAATTTCGGATTTAATCCTATATTTCAATTGCAAACTGCAAAGGTATATAAACTACAGCTTCTAGAAGATACTTTTCTTTTTTATTTTAAATATAAATTTTTACGTTAGAACGAATAGAGAAAAATATCATCTTTTCCAAATAAATCAATAAATGTATTTAAAATCAATGCATCATTTAATATGTTTGTTCGATTCATTAAGTTGATAAAATTAAAATAATTATTCAAAGTGGATAGTTGAGCTTCTTTCAAGTCCTTCTTTTAGACAAATATGAAAATTTATACATAAATATAACCTATACATAGATATACTAGTATTAACCTTCAATTCTCTTTAAGCAAATAAATTAATAATATTTATATTTCATTCTGTTAAATAAGTATTTATTATTTATCAATATTTAATGTTGATGTTCACGCTGCACTTTTATCACTACACTCCATTGTTTTTTAATGGCCGACAATAGAGACTCCCTGCCATAGTTACAAAAACATGGCGTAGTTTTCTAGGGGTTTTTTCTGGCGTTTTTTATTACAGGGTTGTAAGAACTTTGAAATGGCCATAATATATTGCATTCTCTTAACGGGATGTTTGTAATTTAAATCATTAACTTTGGTATTTAAGTAAATGATGTGTAAAGTGTATTAAAATTCACTAAAGAAGTTAATTGTCTTCAGATTATAATATATTATATTTACTATACATTTAAAAAGTGCTTTGAGCTCAAATGTTTATAAGAAAATGCTTTTTAATAGAGTTAATTTTTGATACTTTTAACGTCTCCTCAAATCAAATTCAAATTCAATATCAAATTTTTAAACACAAACAAGTAATGTTAATTTTTATAAACAATTTTAGAAAGTAAATAATAAAGTATTTAAGACTTTTTCAATTATAAAGAAGTATGATATTTTAATATAAAAAGAAACAATAAAACTAACTTCGGATAATTTAAATTTATATACCCTTGCAGTTTTTAATTGAATTATAGGATCGTATCGGAAATCGAGTATAACTGAGCTTCAAATATTCGCATTCTTTCAATCGTTATTTAATATATTATATTTATATATATTATATTTTATATATTATTTTTTAATATTTTTATATGACAATTTTTTGGATAAATTCATGTTTGAAAAACTCATAACTAAGCCAAAAATGCATTGATTTTAAATCGGAATGCATTTGTGTGTTAGATTTTTGTAGGTTAATAAATCCTCATACTCAATTAAAAAAAAAATAATTTATATTTTTGACATTTTTGTGTGACAATTTTAACTATTTAATCCCTTAAAAATTTTGAAAAAATTTAAAATTTGTTTTTCTCTGCCGGAGATGGGTAGATCGACTCGGCTGTTCATGCTGATCAAGAATATATATGATTTATAGGGTCGGAAATAGTTCCTTCACAATGTTACAAGCTTCTGACTGAAATTAAAATACCCCTCTACAAGGGGATAATAAATATATACGTTAAGATTATTTATTTTAGTTTGTTGCTAATATTATTTATTTATTATAATTTATATTTATATTTATAATTTATTTCATTATAAAAAAATTCAAAAAAACATTGTACATCGATTAACTTATAAAATAATTAATTTTTATTTAACATCTAACTATTTTTCAAACTATAAAAAATGAAGAAATCCAAAACTCTCTAAGTCAACAACAATAAACTTTCCAAACTTTCTTCAAATTTTACTTTTTTATATTTTTTAACTCAATTTACACTTGGCAACATGTTGCCAAAGGAGAACTTGTTGCTAGCAACAATACCAATCAGAATTCACACACACACTCTTCTACGCCTGCAGCACGAATGCATCCGAAGAGAGCTACGAACAAGTGAAAGAGCGAGAGAGAGTTTGAGAGAGAGAAGGCTGTCCGCTCTTGAGTCCGAAAAAAACGCAACGAACAAAACGAGCAAAACAAATAAGGCAAAAACACAAACAAAAAGAAGCGCCGCTTTCCTTTTTGCTTCTTTATTTGGTTGTTTGTTTTTGTTGTTGCTGTCGAAGGGCAGGAACAAGTGATTTTTCCGAAAAAAAAGGAAAACACATTGTTGGGGTGGTGGGTGGTGGGTGGTGAAAGGCGAGGGTTAGACGCACACGCAAAAACAAAAACAACAAGCGAAAAGGACGAAACA